GAGCTCATTTTTTGGGGTCAACATTCTACATCTTTCTTCCATATATTTTTTCAAATGTGAGTCAACCAATTCTACTTCTAGATGCTCCATGGCATTGATAGAGATAACTGAGATGATGAGACTCTCCGAAGTGATATCTTGTACACGTGATATCTTGTTCGTATATAATGTAAACCGCCTATATTTAAAGTAGTTGTTTCCAAGCTCGAAAAGAGAAAGAGGGTTTCAATTTTTAGAATTTTTAAAAAAGAGACAGCTTGTAGACAGCTTTGTTCGTCTATAGGGCCAAGCTGAGTTCGGGTGTCTAAGGGCAGAGACGAGCCCCTAGTTTGGTGCTAGTGTGGCATAGGGTGATATTAATTTTTGCCCTATTTCCTTTATATTTAATTTCATTAAAACAATGTACGACATACTTTGCACATGATATTTTAGTAAAAATTTCGACACTTTTCTTCTTTCAAGAGTATTTGTGCAACAAGTTGTGAAGTTGAAGATAAAAAGTATCAATTTAAAGGTGGGGATCAACTTACTAAATAGGCCATAGATTGAGGACCAATCATGAAATTTTCCAAAATGTTATAAAACATGTTGACATAAAAAATCCACCTATAGTCAAATATGCAACTCCAATTTATAAACAAGACTTTATTTGTTGTTTGTTCATATAATCTTCTCACATTAAAAAATTGTCTCTTATAGTATTAATAGTTTCAAGAGAAGCATATTTTCTCCAAAAAATTCTACATCTTGTTGTAGAGAAAAGCCAAGTTGTCAATAGTCAGTAACTATAACAAGACCATAAATTGTGACATGCAATACACAACTCCAATGTAGTAAATACATGAACAAAACATCCATAGTTAAGAGACAACATAGTATCAAATACTGTCATACAATTTACAATTCAAGAAGACACTAAATTATTGCTCCCACTTCTTTCAGAAATGCTATCAAACTCACTACTAAATAGGCTTCCACTGGTAGCTGATGTATTTATATTTGCAGATTCTGAAGCAGCAAAAGGATTTGGTGGCATGACCGGCATGTTTTCGCCTTTGAGCATTTGAATCACGACCTTCATTGAAGGTCGATCGGTTGGATACCACTGGATACACCAGAGCCCAACAATTATTAGTCTTTTTGCTATTTTAGTATCCTCCTCTCTCTCAATTTGGATTTCTATATCTTCTCCTTTATCTAGTTGATTGTACATCCATTCTGGAAAATAAACTTGGCTACTGTCAGCTGCTCTGGCATGGAAGTTCTTCCTTCCTCCGACGAGGTCGAGTAACAACATTCCAAAACTGTAAATGTCTGATTTATACGACACGTTCCCAAAGTTCCTAGAGAAGACCTCTGGTGCAATGTAGCCTATTGTCCCACGGGCTGCAGTCATGAAGTCTAAAAACCAGATTAATTGAAGAATTCCAAGAGCAATTATTCTCATTTCAGCTAGCAATATTTATACACAGATGACCTATACATGCTATTACATACAATAAGGGAATATGCTTAATTAAACGGTAATACACAGGTGGCATAACAACCAAACATTTCACTCCTGAAAATCAGCATGTGTCCTGCTCCTTCAGTGGATTCTGTTATGTGGTGCTGGCTTTCTCTCGTGATTGATTTATTCCAACACCCCCTCTCAAGATGGAGGATGTTTCTACAACTCCAAGCTTGTCTCTTAAAAACAAGAATCTTGAATGTGAAAGTGGTTTTGTCAGTAAATCTGTCGTCTGATCTGATGAAGGAATATAGTCAACCACGAGTTCTTCCCTAAGCACTTTGTCTCGCACAAAATGTACATCGAGATCGATGTGTATAGTCCGTGCATGATAAACTGGATTTGAAGCCAGTGCTTTAGCACTTAAATTATCACACCAAATTTTTGGAGTAGAAGTCTGTGATAATTCGAGA